CCAATGGCCGCGCGCCAAGCCAAATCGCGGGATTCTCGTTTAATAAAAAGACTTTTAAAATTGCACGATTTCTCTCACGGATACACGCTTAGAGTCTAATTATTCACAATTATTCGACGGCCCCCGAACATCGACTCCGATTCCCCGAGGGTTTCATACCCTTGCGAAAAAAAAAAAAAAAAAAAGACAAAAAAAGAACGATTGAACACCATCTTGAAGGCGTGTCTCGCCGCGTCGAATAAATAATAATAATTTCTTTTTTTCGCTGGTTCATCACCCTGTAAGAATCGTCTTGTCTTCGAAGCCTTGTCGGAGGGACGATCGCACGACAGAAGGGAGGAAAGTGACTGCACATCCTCACCCCTGCCCGTATCACGCGTCACGCGCACGCAAGCGCGCCACACGCACGTAATAGAAACTCTTGGTTAGACACAACAAGAGCGTCGTCTATGTACGTTTAATTAGACTCGATGCAAGTTTATAGCTGACTTTTGTTTGTACTTGGGGCCACGGGCTCGACGGCCCTTACCTTGTGCGAAAAAACTTTACAATATTTACAGGGACGCGAGACCGCGGAATAGAAGGGATAAATATCGAGATGATGATGATGATGATGATGATGATGAAAAGGAAAAGAAAGAAGATGAATGAGGAAAGGAAAGAAGTGATGTTTTTAAATCGTTTCGTACGCGTTGTTCTCTTTCGTGTCCGTGCGCCTCTCCAATACACGTCTCTCGATACGTCGTCGCGGAGAGAGAAAAAGAGAGGAGAGAAGCTTGAAGCTCGCGGTTACGTTAGAACGAGATGGTGGGCTGCGTCCTGAGCTGCTGATCACTCGCGATTCATGTGTACTCCGATCGCCAACCGGTCTGAAACCAGACAAATAGAACATCCATGCGACTTTTTCTATTGGACCACTCGTTTCTAACAAACACGTTTCATTTTCTTGCTTCGCGCGTGCCGAACTCGGTGTCCTGCGTGCACTTTGAGGGCCATTACGCACTGTATGTGCGACTGTATCACTTCCTCCAATAAATATCAATACGATATTTTATTAAAAAAGACAAAGAACCCCACCACGAAATATAGAGAGTTACTATTCTCACCGTTGGTTCAATGTGGCAATCACTTTACTATCTATGTAAAATTGCTATCCCTGAAGAATGAGAAATGCAACTTTCACTTTTAGTTAATCGTCTGATTTTTTTTTTTTTTTTTTTT